TTATTAGATATTTTTAAGTAATTGCCTTATATAGCTATATATCTATCTTAAGAATACAAGCTTAGAAAATTTTATCTATAATCTAAATCTACCAGAGTATGTATATTTCTACTATATATTGAATTATATCTGAATTTAGTATTTAAACTATTTTTAGGTATCTACTATATTCACTCTATATCTTATTATCAAACTTTGGTTACTTCTAAATTGGTTTATTTGAAAAATCAGTTTTTAATGATCTTCTAATTTGGTATATTTGTTATTAAATACTTTTTAACTAGTATATATTTTTTTTAATAGGTAGTCTCTCATATATGTTTTTCAAGCCAAGTATCTGCTGCTGTTACTAGTTCTATATGAGAAGTATTGGTATTATATCTTGAACTAAAAACTTATCTTATATTTGTACTGTCTATTATTAGCTTGCATTTTTTCATATAATTCAAATATTATATAAATACTCCAGACCTTCCACTTACTTTTTCAAGTATATTAATCTTATATCTCAAGTCAGGTTCTACTCAAGTCTTAATATTTTCTAAGTTATCTAGTATAGTACATATCTTACTATTCTTTTAAATACTTTTTTATATAATATTTTTTAGGATCTTGTTTCATGAGAACTTTTTGTAGTTGTATAATAACTACAAAGTTGCACACTTCTAGCTATTGGCTTTTGTAATTTTGTTTTAATGATCTAGCTTGTTAAAGATTAGCTTAATACTATAAAATTATTTAAGTGGCAAACTAAATTACTTCTAGCTATTTCTAGTTAATATAGTATTTGTGCTGATATATCTTAACTTATTCATCAATATATTTTAAAACTTAAAAAATATAAGCTATAAGTATATTTATAATAATTTTCTAAATAAATTTATCTAAAAAAGTTTACAGATTAAGAAATAATCTATATTATATAACTTTTCAGATCATAAGCAAATTATTTATTAAATTTATAAATACTATATTCTTTTGAAAATAAGCATCTTCTAAAAATAAGCATCTCCACAATTCATATATACTCAAAAATAAGTACCTCTTATATAATCAATATAAGCAACAAAATATCAAGTTATTCAAATTATTAAATAATATTATACCCAAAAATAAGCAACCTTATAGAAAAAAAGAGGTATTTTCAGAAAAATATAGTAAATATCTTAAAAAAAGAATAAAATATTTTTTAAAATTATAATTTTGTGTAATGATTTTTAATGTTTTTATGCCTTAAATAAGTAATTAAATTTAAAGTTATATAATAATATATAAGTATTGCTAAAAGAAAATCTAAAAATTTAAATATAAATTATATTTAAATTTTTAAGTTTTCTTTTAACAATACTTATATATATTAATTATTAAATTACTTATTTAATAATATTTAATATATTTATATTTTAAATAGAAAATATTTCATATACTAAAAATTAATATAGTTACTTGTTAGAACAGTATCTATAAAATACTTTATAGATTTAAACTTATATGTTCAAAAACTGATCTTCTTGTAACAACATATAAAAATTAACTGAATTATACTTATTCTAACAATTATATAAATAAAAAAAAATTAATATTATGATTAATCTTTTTCATTTAGTTTTTAAAACAACAAAATATCTTTTAAATAGTTCATACTCTACAATTTCAAATATTTATTTAATTATTGATAAGCTTATTTGATATTTTGATCAATTTATTAAAAGTTTATATTTGGAAGAAGAGTATATAGTTACAGATTTTATATTATGAATTAAATGAATATTGGTCTTTTTTTGATGAAAAAATTCTAATAGCTGTAATTCTTAATCTATTATCAAGAGTAATTTACTTAGTAAAAAAAAGTTTTAGATAGAAGTGTTGCACATTCAAGCTTATAGTAAAATTTATATATAAAAAAAAATATTTGTTTAGGTGACTTATGGATTGCCTATTAAATTATTTTTTTTAGAAGAACAAGAAACTAAACAACTATCAGAAAAAGAATTAGATTTATACTTAGCTTTGTTTATATCTAAAAATAAATTTCTTAATTAATAGAAACTAAATGAGTATAAATTTCTAACTTTAGCAATAATGATATATAACTATTTTGCTATTTAAGAATCAAGTATTTCTTGTAAAAAAACTTTTTCTATAATAGCAAAAACAATTATCAAAATTTATAGCTGTCTTCTTCTTGAAACTGTTTAAACATTATTTTGTCTAAAAAGCTAGATAGAATAAGATATAAGAATATAAATTAACTTTTAGTATAAGGTTCTATATAATGAAGGTAAATAATCAATATATTAACAGTTAGCAGTATTTATACTAGTAATTATAAGTAATGCAATAAAAAAAATTTAGTTTAATTGTATTATATTATGTAATTTTGAATGTATTTTTTTATTTTTTTTATTTTACTTGTATATAGTTTTTTTTTTTAATATTGAGTTTTAATAATCTTTATTATTGCTAATGTAAAGATAAGTGAGCATATATTACAAATCATATGTTGCATTATTTTTGATCATTTTTAATAATAATCAAAGTTATATAAAACTGGTAAATTTATTATTATTTTTATATCTTTGTGTTATGATAGATCTTTAATGAAATTCTAGTGAAAAAAATACGTATAATTATGATTCAAAAAAATCAAAGTTTTTTATTATTACAAGAACAGTATATCATAAGAATAATAAGCTAGACACATAATATTAGTTTCTTTCTGGCTCTTTACACCAATAAAAGTAGTGAAAATATCATGTTTATAAAAAATTAGTGAAAGTTTGTTATTTATCTATTAATAGTGAGCCAACCCAAATAATAATTTTAAATTGAACCACCTACTTTTACTATTTAATTGTCATTGAAGTATAGTTTTATCAAAAAATTTAAAAATATTTAATAATTTAAATTTTTTTTTACATTTAGAAACTATGGTTTGGTACTAGAGATCAAGTAAAAAAAAACTTTATCCGTGTGAATATTGACAAAAACATTGATTTAAATTTATGAAAATTGGTCTACCAAGCACTAGTCTAGATAATTTTGTCTAACAAGCTAAAATTCATAATTTTTTAAGTTTGATAGTAAATTATACTGTAGAAAACACCTTGAGAAATTATTAATTTGCTTCTACATTAAAGATTTGGGATAGGTTTGTAAGAATATAATACTATATTATATTTCATAGTATTAATAAACTTTACAAAGTTGATTATGTGATGAATATTGAATTAAACTACTAGATTTTTTATTAATATTTTATAAATAATATTAGATATCATGAATTTGCTATTTAAAAAAATAATTTTGTAATAAGATAATGATGACAAATATAACACAACAGTTACAAAACATTAGCTTAGAAATAATTAGGCAAAGAATTTTAATTGGCATCCCCACCCTCTAAACTCAAATCTTTTAAATATTTGTAGGTCAAGGTTGACCATCGACTTGAAGACATCTTGGGTAAATTTCAAGTGAAAAAGATTCTCGATGCAAGATCTAGGTGGTCTAGTTAAAAATCAAAATGAGAACCCGTATCATCTGATCCATCCCAATGCCAGAACAAGTTTGTGGAGCTATCAAGGCACAAGGTGGATACACCATATTGTGGCGGCCATGAAATATTAAAGTAGAAAAAAAAAATTTTTTTTTATATGTAAAAAAAAATTTTTTGTTTTATGTTCGTGTTGTGTTTAAAACGAGCAAAAGTAATGCAACACGTTATTTTGAATAAAGCTCGTGCTCAAGAAAAATTAGCCTCATTAATACTTTCTAAGACTTTTATACGTGAATACTGTATTATTTATGAGTAAAATAAAAAAAAAAGTAAAAGGATACACCCAAAATTGCGTGAGATAATACGATCAAACCAAAAATTAATACTCTTTCATTATAAACACTAACCTTAACTTCTAATCGAACTATGAAAAAAAAGCTGAACAAAACACCCCAAAAAAATTTTATAAAATAAGTCAAAAGTTCAACATCATCCCTGACAATAAATACCAGCAAACTGCTTATTGCAATGACAAAATTATCATTTGGGCAACTTTAATTAGTGGGCGAAGTTTGATTTACATCGGTTGTCGCTCAATCCCCCGAAAACTATTTATCCGCCAAATTATAATATATTCGACATTACTTATCCTTTTCTTAGACAGGACATTTCTCCGGCAATCATTTCTTCGACATAAAATTGGCTCGATTTAACTTTGGATTGGTTGATTTAGAGTTAAAGTTGTCGGGGAAATGTCTTGTCTAAGAAAAGGATTGTCGAAAACACGTAATGTCAAATATATGTCTTATCGAAAAAATGTGCTGTAGGGTAGGAGAATTGTAACCTTTACATATTTTAATAACGATTGGCTATCCCACAATAGATCATGCGCACGATATGCACGCACATGTGTCATATAGTCTCATACACTATATAAATATAGAAATGTGATGCTACAATATTATGAAGGATTTTTCCAGTAAACTCGAAATTTTGTCCAAGAAATTACTTTCTGCGCTATAGCGAGAAACAAACTAAGTTATGTCTTGGACATGGCTCTAACCCAATCATAATGATTTATTACTTTAAACGATTGTGCATATTCGATGAGATCTAAATGGATCGGTCATACGAAAAGATGATTGGGGTAGCTAGATTTTACGGACTCAAATACACATTACTCCGTTCCTGGTAAAAAAGGAAGGTATAAGTTTCATACGTATTGGTACGGTGCAGCAACCCAATTTCTTTGCATAAGCGATAGAAAAATACGCAAAAAAATTATATCTCATCAAGTAAGTTTCTATTAAGAACGAGAAATCTGGCTTATTATGGTCTAATTTTGGGTTTTCTTTTTTTTTATGATTTCTATATAAAGAGATTGAAGTTTTTTAGTTCTGTGTTTAAGCGATTAACAACGTTTAAACCTTTTTGCAATTTGATATTTCAAGTTTTGTGATCGTTAAAAATCTTCGAACAAAACCATTATTAAACAACAATTATGGGAGCGAGCGTCTCAAAAGTATTAAGCGCCGTTGCCTGTATTCGTACGTAATTAAGTCAAATCCAAATTTTTATCGTTATTATTTAATTCATTGTAACTTTTCATTACTTACTCAGTCGTGGGCATGAATGTGGTATACTTGGGTGTCCCTTTAACATCTGGAGTTTCCATTAATGAAATGCTGATTGCAGCTGGTTTTAGTGCGTTTATAGCTTGTTACTTTAAAAAGCTGACATGGGTTGAATTCTTAAATCAGTCGAGTATAGGTGCACTTTTGTCTTCGACTTCAGTTTTTGGAAGTAATATCGCTAGTTACACCATAAAGAAAATCTTTGAGAAGTGTGAAAAATTAGCAAATTCCCTGAAGCTTTCGAAACCAGCTATAATTACGTATTTAATTTTAGGGTCAGCAATTATATTTGACAACTTATTTATTGAAGAGGAATCATACACAGAAACTTTAAAAGAATTATTTACGGTGTTTTTCTTTGGCACAATATTGTCTTTTGGTTTATTATATGGAACTGAAGCAGCTTATAATAAAGTTATCAAATTTGTTGGATATTTATGGCAAAAAACTGTAGATAAATTAAAAAACGAAACGAATATAATCTCTTACGCGAACTTTTTAAAGAATTGGCGCAGTATTAATTTCCTCGTTCTTCCTGCAGTTGAAACTGCAGAAAATTTGGCTTCTCAAACGATTAGTCAAATAATTAACAATGACAAATTAGAAATAAATCATAAAGGAACTTTATTAATATCTTCATTAGAAACCACACTAAATGCGATTGCAAGGACTGCTATCAGATATCGCGATGAAATTAGGGACGATGAAAATCTCTTTAGACTCACTGAACAAAAAGAATTTGAAATCCGAAATGACAATCCAAATTCAACAGATTCAGATTCGAAGGATAAGTCCCCTGCCGATAATAGTACTCATATTATTAAATCGCGTGCATGGGATAACGTAAGAATTTACTCCACGAGAGATGCAATTGAAGCTTTTCGATCTCAATCTGAAAGATACCTTTATTCTAACGTCGCACATGAACTTGGTGATGGAGTTGGCCAAACTTCAGAGAATGAAACTGATCCTAAATATGTATATGCTTATAATACTCATTCAAATAGTAATAAAGTAGCGACTTCTTCATCGTCATATGGTATTTCGACTAATGAAAATGTTCAAAGCCTTGACAAAAAAAAGAAATCTCGAATTACAAATGAATATTCGGATTTTTTTCAATACAATTTGTCTAGTCAAAGCAATTTCTTCAATTCGATCGATAAACTTAATCTACCTGAAACAGTTAATGAATCAGACACATATTCATCAGTTGAAATTCATCCAATAATTTGTTGGAATGCAATCGAACAAATGTACATCTTTTCCAATCCAAATGAATGGCCTTCCTTTCCACATAAGGCCAAAGTTGTAGGGTTCATCGGGACAAAAAAGTCTGGACGTACTACAGCAATTCATAGTCTTTTATTTGAATTAGGATACTCACTCACAGGAGAACAAATAGCAAAATCGTTATTGCCAGTTGGTGTTATGATGTATGTTTTGAAAAAGCATAATTTGATATTTCTGGACTGTTGTGATGTTGCAGATTCTGCCATAAATGAAGATGGAAATCCTGTAAGGATATTGTTATTTAGACATTCACTATATTAATTTTGATAGTAATTTCCTTTAACGTTAGTAACTTTTTTTTCTTTATATAGCTTTCGGGATCTCTACTTGAATTTTTTACCTACATGGCTTCCTGCCACTTAGTCATACATACTGCAATTCCTAAAGAAACGATTGGTGAACAGTCGATATTTTCGGAACTACTTGCTAACTATGTTCATGAAAAAGCAAAATTGCTCTTATTGTGGTCTAACGTTATTCAAACATATGGACCATCAATGCTCACTGTTATTGTTCGTGGTTCTAAGCAACAGTGCGAGGAATTGGACCTAGTCAGACCTAATTTATTTTCTTCTCAGTCTGAGGATCAGATTGCATTTACACATGGGTTCCAAAACTCAAAAGAATTTATTTGGCAATACATTCCTGAAGAAATGATAACCACCCGAACTCTCGCAAATGACAATTTTGCCGTTCCTACAGCAATTCTAGAACGTATCAAAGAAACTGATCTTCATATACTTTCTATATATTCGCAAGCTATCTTGGCGGGAGTTACTTATGAATCTGATATTGAAAATAAAAATTTGATCCCTTTTTACAATGGAATTGAAGCATATTGGAAATGTCTTTTTACAGAAATCATGTCAAATAGTATCCTTTCCCAAAGTGTTACTGATGCTATTAATCATGAAATAATCCAATATGCCGATGTACAAACAGGCGGTTTAATCCAAGAGTATATTGATTCAGTAAATCAGCTTGTAAAAAATGTAAGGAACAACTTTAATTATTTTATGATTTTATAACAAGTTCTCGCGTTTGGCATTAAATTTATGTACCAATTTCAACTTAGTCTGCTACCCAAGGCTCAGAATTGGAAACAAATTATAAAGCACTATGTGAAGACATTAAGAAACGAATAGATATTGAAAATGAAAAGCCTAATGAAGATAAAGATCCCGTTATTGGTTTCAAAATAAATATTGAAATTGCAAAATGCCTTCTTGAAAGGTAATTTAACCTTATATTCAATGCTTTCATTAATGTAATATTAGTAATTTAAAAAAAATTTAAATACCTTAGTTCGAAATCGGAAAATAATTTACAAATAAAAGACAATTTGATATCTTGGGGACTTCATGGCTTAACACTGATTCATAATCGTTCACCTAAGGCTATTGAACATACGTGGATTAAACTATGCATTAATACCTACAATATACTTGATCTCTTGAATACACCCATTATTTATAATGTTTACTGGCATTGTTGGAATTTCCTATCCTTTGCCAGTTCTTGTGGTTTCAAATTGGAATTAATTGAATGGCAAATCCTAAAGCGTGCATCACATTGTCTCAAAGCAACAACCGACAAATCTCAATTTCACTTTCATGTTCTTGATTGTCTTCTTAATTTTCTTGAGGTAGAACCTTATCTTCCGGTGAGAATTCCTCCTCCAACTAGTGGTGAAAATGATCAAACATCGTTACAATTAGATGAGCAATTTTATCGACTTAAACAAATGACATATTATGGAATAACCGAATATTCAAAAAAATGTGTTCAAGAAGCTGTAGAGCAACGAAAATCAACCAATATGGAAAAATATTTGGAGGAAATTAAAAATATTGTAGACAAGCAATTGACGGTTTTAACCAGAAATGAACCTTTTTCAGCACTAAATGAATATCAACAATTTGTTATTGTCAGCACTGCTTTAACACGTCTTAATACGGATATTGCTCTTTATGTGTCTAGATACATATTAGATGATAAAAATAAACTTCTTAAACTATTTTCGCCGGATTTATCTGGTGATATGTTAGGAGGTTATCATGAAACGATTCGTAATTATAGATGGTTGGCTTTACAAAGAATTGCCAGCCTTGAAGACAATGAATGTACTAACAACCTTATTAAATGTGCCCTTCCCTGGATTATAAATTTCTTAAAAAAATTGCCGTATGATAGAGCATCTAAAGAAATTCATTCGTATGCAATTCTTTTTGCAAACACTTTAATTATTGCCGAAAGCACCATGCAAAAGCGTCAAAGAAACGCAGAACAAAGGAAAAATAATAAAGCCTCATCCCTTAGACAAACAGCAACTATAAACGATATAAACAAAAAAAGGGAAAGAATAGAAAATGAAGAAGCATATGGAGAAGTTCGCATGGGACTACTCTCACAGAAATGTTTCAAACCTGTATTTCAAAAATTATTGCATGATTATAAATACAGTGATCAAAATATATATCTTAAGTCAGATAATGTTCGACGTTATGCACAATATATTAAAAACTTATTATTTGCACCTCATAATTCACAAATTCAAGCATTATCGCTTGATCAGATTTCTACTTCCGAGAAAAACACGCTTCGATTAATGACCTTTAAAATGGTAGACCTTTGTGTAAAAAATTTTTGGGAACAGCATCCAGAAGTGAAGGAACGCGCCTCGTCAAGCCAATTGTCGGTTATCTATAATACACGTTCATTGCTGGGGTTATTAAATCGAATTTATTGGATAACAGCCGTGAAGAACAAAAATGAAAATATTCGAGGATCTTTTATTATTTTTGGAACATCAACAATTGCAACACCTGAACAAAATATTCATTCACTTTCTTCCCCTAATGATTCATCAGAAACTTTCGCTGACGAAATGATTCAACGTATTGGTCTTAATAATTGGCATAACCTTATATCTTTAACTTCTATTTCACACACTCTATCTAACTATATTACTAAAATTGATCCTGATAATTCATTAAACATTCGTGAGGCAGTATTTGATATACGAGATGAAGCGTTAACAGTTCTCTGGAATCTTGCCGAATGTAGTGGTATTTCACTTGGAGTATCAAAAAAAGTAATGACCACTATTGATTTTCGATCAGCAGATGTGATTGATGGATTTTCTAATATTTCATCTTTTGATGAAAATGGAGTTAATCGTGTTAAATTCTTGGTTAATCGTGTTATTGGCAAAGTAAATGCTAAGGAAGCCACAGATCAAATTGAAATTACTACCCAAGAATTATCTAATCGTTTTGTAATTGGAAAAAACAGAGCTATCGAATATAAAAAACGTGTAGAAATTTCTGAAGATATTGAGAAGCAAATAGAAGAACAAAGATTGAAGCCAGACGTTCAAGCAGTGAAAGAAGCCAGATTAAAGAAATTTAGTAACAATTGAGGTTTACAAAAAAATTTCTAGGTCTTAGCATGAGTAAATACATAAATAATGTTTGAAAGAAGTGTAATACGTATAATTATTTATCATTTGAAAATTTGATTTGCAAAAGTTTAAATGGATTTAAGCGAATTCAGCACTTGTTAACTAATAGGAATGTTATCGCTCATTCAACTCTATTCATTAATCGGTTTTTATAATATATAGTTAAATATACAATTCGATAACATCCCTGTTAATTAATAAACGCTTGGGTGCTTAAAAAGTTCATTATTATAATCGGTACCTAGAGCCCTATTAAGCCTTTTTATTTCATTTAATTATTAAAATAACAGAATTCTGTACTTAAAAAATTTAATAAATTTTATATCGCGTGCATAAATTGAAAACGGTATAAATTTTTCGCGTAGTCAATTTCGCAATATATTTGATAAATTCTTTTGTGTCATGCAAGATTATTACAAAAATGACTTTTCCTGGTTACATACGTACGTACTTAATTTAGACTTCTATACAAGCTAACGCTAATACATTTAAGATTTCAAAATTAAAAAATGACGTATTGTTTTCAATTACGAATTTTCAAAAAAGGGAAATGAAATGATAGTAGAGATGGGCAAATTAGTTACGTCTTATTCCATTTAAATCCTTTGATTTGTAACGAGTAATACAGTCAAACCTTCCTAAATGCACTCTCTATGAGCATGGTCTCTCCATTAATATTCAAAAAAAAAAAAGCTCCCTCTATAAGTACACACGCACAATTTAGCCTGGTTAACCATGTGTTTAAAAATTCAATTTACTTTTTAATATGCAGAAAACTTAGTAATTCTCGTAAACATAATAGAAATTCCAAAAAAAATATACGTACGTAGCACGACATATCATAAAATCCACAGATTCATGGACAATTTTGCTTGCGGAATGAAATTTCAATCGGCGTTAGGTTTTCTGAACCAAAAATCCGATTTCAAAATCCGTGTAACGCGACACGATCAGGAAGATGCAACAAACGGTCGTTTTGTCAAAAATCGCCTATTTCTCAAAAATCCGAATAAAAACCACATTTAGTGCCCTAACAAAAAGTTTTCCTTGAGCGATTTTACTATAACATTTGCTGACGTCCAACCATAATAACGCTAACCCTAACATCAATGAATTTTAGTAAATTTTCGTGATTGCAAATCTGCGCCACAAACCTGACACAAATTTCAGACGTGCTAATTTCTGAGATCCAGACTAGAGTTGCAGGTGAAACTAATATTCAATGGTGCACCATCGGTGCACCAGATAAAACTGGTGAAACTGGTGCACCGATAGTGATCTAGAGTTATAGATGAAACAAATCTTTAATGGTGCACCAGTTTCCTGGTGAAATTAACTAGTTTCACCAACAACTCTAATCCAGACATATGTGTGCACGTTATAAATGCATACACTTGAATTTACACCTTGTTTTTAGGGGTATACATTTAAAGAAGTTTGAGTTAACCACATGTATACTTTCTATTAACTAGTAGACTTTTTATTGGCTTTTAAAAGCTATTTAAAGCATGTATGGTTACAACACTTATATGCAAGGTAGAGGCACTTAAGAATACTAACCCAAAACAATTTTCCTTTTACTATGATGTCCCAGATATTGACCAAATCGCCATAGTTACGCCTCTAGCGTGTTGTCTTCTTACTCTATTTACCCTGTATTCACTCATTTTATCTTTTTATAAGCGAAAACAAGGATACTATATATATTTAGAGAATTTATATATTGCATATTTAAAGAGATTTGATTTGGTTATTCGTAGCATTTAAAATGAATGTGCCAAGAAAAAGTGAGATTTTGTGCTTTTAATTATGTAACATACCGGACAAAACCCTAAAAATATTGATTAGTAATATATAATAAAATTTTCAGGGGTTTTGTCCAGTACTTTATGTAATTAAAAGCCGGTGTCTTATTTTCCCTCGACAGCATCCATATATTAAATGCTGCCAAAGGAAACCTCGTATATCCAAAAATAGATTATGAATTTCATAATGATCTATTTTTAGATATACGGGTTTTCCTTTGGCACTCATATATTTTTGGGTTACAGGCCAAAACCAAAATCCCGAAACTTAATTATCGCATTGTGTGATGTCAGTAATATAATCCGCAGATTATTAGTATATCATTATCTGCGGACTCTAAATATTATTTCACCGACATCACACGATGCGGTAACTTTTGCCCGCTTTAGCCCGACATACTTGCCTAGAGAATCAAGATTCTGATTTGTAACCATATTTTTTTGGGTACAGTAAATTTGCGTAATTTTTTCTAAAATATTATACACCATAAACTGCTAACCAGTGTATCTCGATATTTACAACTAATACCGTGCCCGGGTATTTTACCTGAGGTCTAGAGTAAATATTTAATATTGTTCATAATCAAAATTATACTTCTAAATCTACAAATCAGCAGTTTACAATACTTTATCAGGCGGAACTTTTTTTTTGTAAAAAAAATAATTTTAATGAGTGATACAAGTGAAAACATGTAAATTTTATTAATAAAATTTAGGTTTTTTTCTGACAACATAAATGGCAAATTTGTAAAAACGTACGTACGTACGTATATCATATTGATTTATCGGTGCAATACTTTTGGCCGCCGCTATAAATCTTTTATCAAATATAGTTAAACAAGCTTTTACAAGCATTGTACAAACTCAAAATGGAAACATCCTTATTTATTAAGTAAATTTTTTGTTACATCGATATGGTATGAAGCCGTCTCTAACTGGAGTTATCACTCCAAGCGTTTAAAGTTACACTTAATTGAAATTAAGCTCTTGTAATTGGGTTTATTATTAAATATCGACAATTCAAAATCAAATTCAAAATCCAAACCGTTTAATAATTTGACAATTACGGGAATAAGTTTTATCACTTATATCCTTTTATTCTTCCCGTGTTATTGAGGATTTTAGAAAAAGAAACTGTATAATGTAATATTCGTAAATATTGAGCGGTCGGAATTTTAAAGGATCTAGATTTTTGGTCATCATAATCACTATAAAACGCGGAATATAGTATCACCGCTTTAAAGTGCCCCTATCGAAACATTTAATTGTGAAACATAAAACACCCAGGGGATATTCCATATAAAGATTTTCATATATAACGTGTAGGGCTTTCAGATCAAATTTAAGATCAAAAATAATATTAATGAATTTTGTATTTAGATTGGTGTTACATCTAACCCACGCGAAAATTGGCTAGTACTCGAGTATTAACTTGAAATGAACCATTCATGGGATGTTATAGTCCGCGTTGTCTACTGTATTTAGAATAATTATTTATTAATATAAACAAGTCAGCCTTGTTACTTTAAATTTGAAACAACGGTGTTTTTGGATAAATGCTCTTATGGATTCATTTATTATATGGTACAACTTTACTTGTGATGCCCAGAATAATTCAATCTAATTTTTGTTAACGAAAAAAAGAAAATTTTAATGAGATTACGTGATAGAAATTCTTTCATTAATAAATATATTGTTTTCAAAAAAAATAAGCTTTTTCGCGATTTTTCATTGTGGTACAAATTCCCTTAATTCATATAATTCATTAATTCACCTAATTAAGAAATAGAATTGTAGTACGAATTTTAAAGATAATCAAGATGGTTCTGTTCCGAATAATGAATGATATGATGTTAGAGAAATTATTTGCTAAAAAGGAAGGCCTTGAAGTGCATTTTAGGGCAATATCAATTTATAATTATATGTTATGTCGGAATTAATGTCAAAAAACGGTAACCAATGAAAGTTATGACGCTCGGAATAGGTGGTCCACAATGCAATCTTTTTATCGTCAAATTGGCACGATCTTTTGTAACACTCCTTAGCTATTAAATACCATCGCGTTAATTTTCCGATTCCAACTCTAATAAGAACAGTAGTTCAAATCTTTTAGAATCAACTATGTACAACCCATAAATCGCAAATTACAGTCCGTTGAAAAAAAAAAAAAACACTTGTTCGTCCAAATTATTCAATTCTATTGAGAATAAAGAAATGGTCCGCCAAAAATAGAATTCTTTGAATCTTGTTATAATCTTTTGGAATTTTTAACTTGACTTCTTAGATAGGCAGCTTACCTTGAACGCGTTTATTTTCTTCTTCATGAGTTAATATGTTATTGCGCAGCGAATTAGGTAATATATTTAGAAAGCCAATAAACCACGGAACAAATTATGAATTGCAAAATTAATTAAGCTCTGTATTTTCCCACGTTACGCATAAGAGAAAAAAACCAATAAATACAATCTTTATTTCTTGGTTGAATGTTTGCCGCGAACTGTTCGTCTCTCATAATTAACATCTTTCGTGCATATTAATTACATTTCATCTTAAAAAAAACATTATGACTTCCGACTTCCCTATCGCGGACCTAGCAAATAATTTGATCCGTAGACTAGACCGAACCAGAATTTTTCCCCCCTACCATAATAATCCCGAAGACCTCCTTCCTGTCCTTAATGCATCCAGAACATGTCATCCAAGAAGATCTCCGAACAGTTTTCTTCTCTGTCGTAAGAATGTTCACGAAGAGGCAAAGAGGAATGGAACATTCAACATGCGAATTGTTAGTAAGGTAACAGGAATTCTTTGGCGTAAAGCCTCTGCTAGGGAGAAACAATTTTATGAAGACTTAGTAAGTAAACTTTGCACGTAAATTAATTAATTTTCAACATCGTAGATTTTCTAACATTTCAAACTCTGAACTTCATATTTGTAGGCAAAACGTTGCAATAGTCTTTACGTTGAACGATATCATTCCATATACGGGCGTCAATCCACAACCCATAGAAGGCCATTGGCACCTTATCAAGATCCTGTTCCACCACCTCCTCCTCTTATGCAAGTACTTCAACCTGATTTACCTACAGAGTTTACAACGATGCAATTCGAACCTTTGTTTCTACAAAGTTTTCCTTATTATAATATTGGTCTTTATTCTCAAGATTTTAATCCGACTTATGATTCGGATGATATGATGTTGTTTTTTCCAATAATCAGTAATAACCCTCTCGCTCTTGATTTTCAGAATATTTAAAAACACGGATTTGATTATTTCTTCTCTTTCGTTAACCAATTCAAAGTTTCTCACGATTGTTCAATAATTAAAAACAAACATAAGTGAAAAAGTTTTTTTTTTTTCTTTAAGAAAAAGTTATATGTAATTATGTTCAAAATATGCTAACCGAATTTTTGGTTTAATATGGTTTAAAATTTAATTTGTTATAATAATTATGATGTATGTTATTACTTAGGGGATTTTTTTACGATTAATAAACGTAAGCTCTATGTTCATTAAAGTTTAAAAAATAGATCAATTGTTTATCAAAAAATGGTTATAGAATTGTATTTATAAGATATTGATCATATCATCTCTGTCGGTGTAAATAATTGACCATCGGGTGCCACTTTGAGGAACAATCATTTACATCAAGAGAATAAAAATTTATTGAATATGTGTTGCTACTATTATTTGGGAGTACACGAGTTTTCAATAACGATAAGGATTTCGATTTTTCCAATAACGATAAGGATTTCGATAATTGGGATAATTGGGTGGAAGTGAATGGTTAGCATCTTTTAAGAATAATTTTAAGGTGATGATTGAACGAATATACAATGTTGCAAACGATTACGCTCGAGTCGGCCTGAATAGTGTTTTTAATCGAATAAGGTTTATTCGAACCTTTTCAATTAATCGAATAAAAATTTTTTATTCGAATATATTCGATTAATCGGATACGATTTTTTATTCGATTAATCGTATATTCAGATCTAAAATATATCTGGAACGAACATAAAATATGAGAAAGGTCGAAGCTAAATTTTTCATTAATTTACCGAATAAGATCAATTAATAAAATCAGGAATTTTATGACTAAAAACACTAACTTTAGAATTCAACGTGTTTCGTGTTTTCCAAGTAATTGCATTCCACTTTTGGATTGATTATTATTTATTTTTGTATTTTATTTCTTTCGTGTTATATATAATCTTCTGACATTATCGTGAGACTCTAGCACGAGCCGAATGCGAACTTAGTCAACGAAATTATATAAAGTAACGGGAGGTATAATGGCGCAGGGGGG